ACATCACACCTTGGATCTGTGTGGAGCTCAAAGGATTCCACGCCGCACACATCAACACCTGTACCCTTGAGCTGTGTGACCTCTCAGAGAAACCCAAGGCTCGGCAAGGCTAAGTGGCCCGAGGCCGTACAGTTGACAGTACCCAGACTGTAACTCAGGTGTTCTGACTCCCGTTCCAGCGCTCTTTCCATGCTTTCCATGTGCCTTTGTGTGATTTTTAGAAAAGTAATCTCTACCCCCAACGTGGGGCTTGAACTCACGGCCCCAACATCAAGAGTCAGATGCTCTACCGACTGAGTCAGCCAGGTGCCCTATCTTTGTGTCATTTTTATTTAAGTCATACTTTAGCCCTGGAAAGCTGGGATGGGCAGATATGATATTCCTCTTTGTTGAGCTGGAAAGCTGAACAACAAATCCACACAGAAAAACTGGCACTGGGAGGCAGGTCTTCTTGTCTTCCAGGATCTGTGTTTTAGATGAAAAACAACCTGGAGATGAGGGAGCAGCGCCCTGCCCATGAGGGGAGCAGGTGGGTGGAGGTCGGGGAGCGATGGCCAGGGAAAGACACATTCTGCCTTCAGGGCATCTTCTCATTTTCAAACTAAAAGATACAACTTTTCTGCCTCAGTTTCCTCCTCTAAAAGTCTTTGAAGGGGCTGGGGTGATGGAGAGGAATGCGGAGTTATTGTTCAGTGGGTACAGTTCCAATTCGGGATGAAGAGAAAGTTCTGGAAATGAATAGCAGTCACAGCTGCACAAATTAGGAAGGTATTTAATGCCACTTAAAGATGGTTAAAATAGTAAATTTTATGTTATGTAGGTTTTACCACAATAAAAAGTAAATAAATGAAGGGGATGGAGTTAACTGAAGGTTTCTAAGTTTCCGTCAACTCTGAAAGTCTAGGATTCTTACCCTGACTGGAAATTTCCTTATGATGTAGCTTTGCCTTTCCAAGTGCTTTCTCTCCCTCGTCTCTCAGAACGCTCTCCCACAAGACCCCAACCCTGTTCTTAGGCAGAAAGGAACCACCTGAGCTGTCTCTCAGCTGGCATAATGACCGAGGGTAAGGTCTGCATTTAGTCTGCGTCGTGGATGAGGCCAGCTCCTTGTTAAATGGGGCAGAGATGGAGCCTTTTTGGAATTGTGACAACTTCTTGCTTTGATGGATTGATGTTCTCTGCTAAAAGTGGCATTGGGCTTTGTTTTAAAATTACGATGCATTTATTTAATTGGGCTTGACATAAAAGCTGGACTGAGAAACCTTATCCCCGAAGATGAAGGCCCAAGTCTGGGAGGCTGGTTGAGGTCTTCCTCCTCCAGCACATGATGTTGGCACGCAGCAGTTCTGAGGCTGGAGGGCAGGTACAAAACCCCGAGTCTCAACAGAGTCCTCAGACAACTTTCTGAGATGGCAGGGGTGTGGGAACCTGCCTAGCTGGGTCCTACGAGAAATCCAGGAGAGCTCAGGGAGGATCCAGACTTCTCAGAGGTGGGCACTGGCTCAGAGCATGGACGGCGAGCCTGAACCCTTGAGCCCTGGCCCCGGCCTGGGTGTCCTCACAGACACAGGAGCAGGGGCTGGATGTGGGAAGCTAGCAGGTGGGCATGTGATGCTCAGCAGACCATCTCACCTGCAGTCCTCAACAAGGAAAGGCACTCAGCAGTCTAAGCTGTACTGGAAAAAATGCATTAACTGGTTCCCCAAACAGCCTAGTTTGATTTTCAGCCTGATTGGATGCTTCTTCCATGTAGAAACGTTTCTCTTATATACCATATCCTCTTCTCCACCAGCCTCCAACGTGTAATCAGCGCAAGGTAAAGTAAGGTGAACTATGGACAGACCTTTGCCATTTCTAGAATAGTTCTCTCTGAGGTGCGGTCACAGATCAGTAGGAGCAAGGGGGAGCCAGACCATGAGAGGATCTGTAGACGGAGCCAACCTTGCAGCAGCTGTGTGACGGGAGTGGGGCGTGGGGGCTGTACCTGAGGCTCTTCACAAGCGTTTCTCCATAGGGGAAGACAAAGGGTGGATACATTAGAGCAGAATTGCCTCCTTCTACATAGCTGGGTGTTCTTGGAAAGCTTTGGAAATCAGATTCCTAGGATTCAGGGTGCTTCATTTTCCTCTTAATTAGCTTTCAAGGAGGTGTCTATAAACCTCCATGAAAAGGTATGGTGGGGACGTACGCCAGCCCTGATGGTAAGCAAAGATGCAAGGAAACTGCTCCTTAAAGGGACCCTTCACTCCACCAATTGAGAAAAAGTAAAGAAAAGTAGCGAATTTGGCAGTGATGGACGTGTGGAGGCAGGAGAAAGAGCCTAAATAGAGCTGGGATGGGAATCAACACGCGGGCAGCAGGTCAAGGGCTGACAGTGGAGAGGGCCGGACTTAGCACCCAGAGACCTGGCATGGAACAGTGAGTGCACTGGGTGTGCGGGCCGGCGTGGCGGCTGGGGTCGAGCACAGGGGTTCATGGCACAAGCCACGGGGGTGGCAGCACAGCTCACCAGGGCACAGGGACATGCTGTCAACAACCAGACAACGCACATCACAGTGCTCAGGTTCAGAAGATAAGAGTGAGGCTGGGGGCCAGGCTGGGCCTGGTAATGGTGCCCCAAATGACCAGCGAGCAGCCAGAGGCCTTCAGGAGGCCACCTGCTTCTCAAGCTGGGTCTTCAAGGAGTCGCTCTCTTTACCATGCACACCTGGCCATTTTCCTCCTCTGCAATGAACACTGCAGTGAAGTTCTGCTTACCTATCCTGTGGGAAAATTCTCAACTCATGTTGAACAGGTTGACTCTCTCTGTCTCATTTGTTATTTGTGTCTGAAAATTCTAAGCTAGCAGCGCCAAGACGCCTGTGTTCCCTCAGCACCTGCTTATGTGCTGAGTTAACTTTAACACAGCCACTGCCCAAGACCTCACTGGCACCTAAAAGGATCCGTATGGAATATTCCAGGGCTGCATGCACACCTCCTACAGAAACCTTGGACTAATCAGAATATTTGGCTGGCTTCTAACCACATGCCCCCTCAACAGTGCCAGTTAACTGAAATGACTGCCTCAAGTATTGTGTTTGAAAACTTTCCAGACATGCATCAACACAATTCATGGCTTTCCTCCATTCAGCATGAACATCCTAATGCTTTTGCTTATGTATCCCAAATCACCTCCCTGGGACCCATCTCATTCAGTCTATGTGAAGGGCTGTAGGCCTTGGATGAATAAGAACCTTAGAAATGTGTTCAATTCACAAAGCAGGGCTAACGCATGTGTACGTGTGTGTGTGTGTTTATGTCCTTTTGCTTATCTAACCATAGAATGGAGCATCTGATTACATCAGTTAACTTTCTCTGTTTGCGCTGCTCATTTGGCCCCACATGGCTCTGTGCCCACTTCTTGCATTAAAGAGCAGGGTGGGAAAGCCACTTTTCTCTCCCCATTCCACCTGAGCTGAAAAAGATCCCAAGTTGCTTTCTAGATCACAAATACCTGGCTTGTCCCTCCCTCTGCCTGGACTTCCTCTACTTGCAGATGGTATCTCTGATACGGGCCAGCAAAACTTGGACCTGGAAATACAGGTGTCAGCACGGGTCTACAAGCTGATAGGTGTGGGCTCCATGGGAGCTAGTGCCTATCCTATGAAACACAGGGAAAGCAGAGCCAGAAATTTCCCCTGGCTTCCTCATTCTCTAAGATACATTTAGGCTACGAGTGCCATACCCACTTCCTCCCACGCTGCTGCACTGCATGCATTGCCCCACACCTGCTGGATTTAGCTCTGTGGCAATACCCACGCCCACAGGCAACCATGGTATCCTGGCAGAACTCCTACTTTCAACCACTGTCTCTGACCTGATTCAACACAACTGGCATCTTCCACAGCTGACTTACTCCTTCTTGCGCAGAATGGTCTTTCTTGGGTTTTCTGGTCATTGACTTAATATGGTGGTGGGTTTCTTTGGGATTAGGTCAAATTAGAATAAGAATAATAAAAGTCCATCTAGTTAAGTGGAAAGCTTAGGTCTATAAAAAGGAAAAGATTTAAAAAAAATACTCTTTATTTTGTACTTAGGGGAAATCTCTAAACTTTTATCCATTACTGGTAATGGGAACACAGATTTGGAGAAAAACATTTCCATTTACTCTGAAAGACAAAATGGCAGGGAAAGCCAGGCCTACATGTGCTCTAATTGTCTAGGGCTTATAACTTTATGAGGGTTGTCACTCCGTGGCAAGCCATGCTGGAGGTCCTATTTCTCTAACCCAAGATAGTTTCTAGCCAAGAAGGGGTTGGAAGTTGATTCAATGTTCTCGGTGGAGGTGTTGGTTCTACTCCCATACCCCTGGAGCCCTACAGTGGAAGAAAGGCCCCTGACAATGTTTTAGTCTCCCTGTCTCTAGAGAGACTGCTGCTAAGGTTACAGGGCTGCTTTTACTTCCGGATGGAACAGCCACCGCCCAGGAGCCCTGGGGCCAGGCAGAGGTGGGTCCTGGAGTTGTTACCATCACTCATTTGCTCTAAGCCAGCCATATACAGTGACTGGGGAGCAGGTCACCCACCAGACCACACCTAGTCCGTGATTTTGCCGAAGCCTCAAGGGAAGAACAGGTTCTAGTAGAAGAACCAGATGAAGAGAATAAAGGGAAAAGAAAAAGAGGGAAGAGGGAGGAAGGAGAAACAAAAGAGGGAGAAACTAAAACTAAAAGGGTTCTTGTCTTTCAGCTAGGAATCGGCCACTCTTCATAACGCCATTTTCCATGAGGAAAAAAAAAGTTGTTGTTGTTGTTGTTTTTTTAAATATCTAGGTCAAGTTTTCTATAAAAATTGAGCTGAATAAATGTCCTTTTTGTCTTTAAGTTGGGAGGGGACACCCAGAGATGCTCTCACATCACCATTTATCCTTGACTGACCAGTCACTTTAGCAAGGTCACTGTTATAGAACACATTTAAAAAGACAATCATTATAGCAAATAGGACAACAATAGCTGCTTCTACCTCCATGCTAGTATTAGGGTCAAGATCATCACACTCTGACTCCTCGGAACTGTTCGTCTCCTTGAAGGGCAGCATGAGGAGGGGGAAGAAAGAGAACACAGTTAGAACACAGGCAGCTTTTGCTGGAGAGGGAAGAGAACTTCAGAAGGGCATGAGCAATGGGAAATTGGGCAGAGAAAAAAAACCAAGTGCTTCTAAGGTGGGGGTGCTGATCACCCAGGGTGGCAGCATGCTCTTTCCGGGCCGGGGGGTGGGGGTGGGTAGCTGGGATCGTGTGCTGCCACACATCTCATGGGAAACAGCAGTGGAAGAAGCAACCACATGAAGCATGAGTGCTGTAGAATTTAAATTCTTGTCTTCTGTGAGGCTGGGACTTCCCTGAGGAAAGTGAAGAAGGGAATACAATTTCTTTTCCCCAAGAAGGACGTTAGCATGGGTTTCAGTTGTTCTTATTTTGCTCAGGAAGGGGAAAAAGTGCCAGGTGGATAATCACACATTATAACGATGTTCAGCATCAGAAGTCTTATTCTCACCGTCCAGAGTCAGATCCTTTTCAGAGGGCCCAATGTAAAGAAAACAGATCACATCGTTTCAAGATGGGGGGGTGGGCAATATGAGTCTGCCGAAGCTTAGAATCAATGGGTTCATAGTAAGAGGTGGATTATTACAAAACAGTAACTTGGGCTTGCCAATGTGCCTCCCCTTCCCTGCCCATGTGTAGGCCTGAAAATGATGTCGTCTGAATTCTGGGGAAAAGAAATGAAACTTTAGCAAGGCCATAGTGGCCCTTAAATTCCAAACCTCGGACTTCACAGGGTTGGAGGTTTGGCAAGCACCCCTAATCTCCTTACCCTGCATGTATTTTCAAACCTAGGATACTGAATGGGCAGCTTTGAGAACTTCAGTATGAATCAAGCATCTTGCATTTTTATGAGAATAATGCTACAGAAAATTTTGTTATAAAACATGTGCACAGTATAAAGAGAAAGGTATAAAAGAAAAAAAAGATACTTACTTATTTGAATCGAAGTTGCCAGGAGAAATAAAAAATAAAAAATAAATTGATCTTGCATGCAAAATCCTGCTAGACTACTTCCCCTCTGGTCCCCACACTGGGAAAAAAAAATCCCCATCCACCCAAATTGACTTGTGAGATGCTGCAGGGTGGGAGTAGATGAGAGGTGGGACACAGCTCTGGAAGACCTTACTCACTTTAACAGAGACTTTGTTGCCCAGAATATCCTTGGGTTTACGAGGCCCTGTGGCTTCATTTTTACCCGTGTTCTCCACTTCCGCCCGCTTTCTCATTCGTAGAGTATGCCATGAACATGACTTCCTGTTGTACCAAAAAATGCACCAATCAAAATGGCAGGTCAGGGCAGAGTGAGGCAGTGGGTGGGCCCGCCACCCTTGGGTGAGTCAGTAGGTGAGGTGCTCCAGTTAAGCCCCAGCTTCAGAGGCCCCAAACCTGCACGCCAGCTCCTGTGGTGGCTGGTGGCCGATCTCGCCTCCAATAGGGAGTGAGTGAGGATGTGCTTTGACCCCTCCTGAGAGATGTGCAAGTTGGCTGCCGCACTTGAGGAAAATATGAGTACTGGGTTATTAAACTCTACCAAGGAAAGTTTTTATATCATACTGATGAAGCCTTAGAGGACTGAGGAATTCCCTTCTGAGCAATATGGTGGATGGTGGAAGAATGAGGTGCGGAGGGGGTGGGTAAAACAGGAAAGATAAGAGAAGTAGATTTTATAATGCATAAGCTACTGGTATTTTCCCAGGACCAGACATAAAGACCCAAAAGGATGATTTTGACGTTTTCATCTCATTATTTACATTTGGGCTGTGGCTACTCCCAAACACTGTAGTACCGATAGGACTTTTTTCTAGGGCATTTGACTTAATGCACAGTTGAACACCACTCATTTATCGTTATTTTAGGATGAAGGTTTCTTGTTCTATGTCCTCCACATCACTCAGTGTTTGTGAATAAAGAGCTCTGTCGAGCACTAAGAGGTCCTAGAGTTTTCCTGTCGGGAGAAGACCCATTACATGCTCTCAGGGTGGTGGGGGCAGCAATATCCTAACTCCTTCCTTTCCACAAGGGGGTTGGAAGCTACTTCACAGACCTGTAAAGACAAGCTCAGAGCAGAGCTCTTGAGTTCCACATGTCAGGACTCAAAAACAAAGACACCAAAAGCCAAGTCACAAACAGCATTAGTGACCCTGGGCAGGCATCATCAATTTCAGGTGTGGTCACAGAATTTGGATGAAGTTCTATCATTGTCTGGAATAGGTGAGGTTGGCCTCCCTTCCGTGTCTCCTTGTCAAATTTAGGCCTTTGCAGACAGAGCTTGATGAAAAGAGCCTTCATTAAGGGAAAGAGGAGAGGGAGAGAGAGAGAGAGAAAGAGAGACATAAGATTTAGGAGGAGGGAGCATGTTCTAATATGTCAGGAGTTTTAGGATGTCTTGAAGGTGTTTCCAAAATATTTATCACTAATACACATGTTCAATGGTCACCCTTCTGAGTAGGAAAGAGTAATAATAGTCATGTTCTCAGATTTCAGGGGGAAGTGGGCTCCATCAGAAAGCCAGAATCTCTTGGCCAGACCTTCTCTTGTACCTCCTGAACAGGCAGGCTCCCTAGCATACCAGCAACTTCCTTCGGTTGTACCTGTGTGAGAACCAGTCATGGAAACTAACTTTAGACAGTATCACTGTTAACTTCAGACATTCACCTCATATCTTTACCCCCAGAATCCACATCCCTGACTCAGTCTGAGAACACCTTGAGTCAGGGAAGTCCATGCTACAAAGACTCCTAGGGTGGACAGCAGAGTGAGCGTGTGTGTGAGTGTGGGGTGTGTTCCTACGTTTATTACAACCCTCTGGGGGTCATTTCAGTATGCTTGGTGAGAAACTAGAAATGTTACAAATAATGTTCAGAAGGAAGACTCAGAGTAGTATCAGCCGCAGGACAGACTCAATTTCACATTCTTCTTCCCAGAAGAAGTTGTCATCATGGTTTGGGGAGCTTCCATCTCTTGGCCACAGGCCCGGGAACTGATGTGGAGACAGGGTTTCAGTGACATTTATGCTGGAGGCATCCCAACCAACTCTGACTCCTGTAGTCATAGTAGGCCCTGGGGAGGGTGTGGTAAGTGTCCTTCACTGATAAATACTGACAACCATTTCAAGTCCATGCCTCTGCTCCACACCTGCCAACCCTTGTGCATGAAGGGCTGACAAGGAACCAGAATGACCCATTCGTATTTGGATCTCTTCTCTTTTGCCCAGCCTGACATCCCTCCTACCTTCCCTCCCATGGAAGGTATGAAAAAGTGATCAAAAGACGCAAAAGTGAGGAAGAAGTCCTGAGTGCCTGAATAATTAGGTCACAAATCATGACAAGTTAGCTCTGTAAGTTAACTGACTAATAAGAACTTCAATGCTTTGAGGGCCTTTATTTCCAAAGCTTCTTAAAAGGTACCAAAACCAAATGTCTTTTGAATAAAATGACTTGGGCCTATTGTGCCTTAGAGGCCACCACTGATTTCCAGCTGAGCCTGTGGTTACCTAGAAAGGCCAGGGTGAGATCAGTCCCCTCTATCCCCTGAGTTAGAGAAAGGGCCAAAGAAGCGCTGTTCTGTTGGTGCCCCTGTTCAGCTATCTCGTGGGGAGTTCCTTCCACCTCTGCCATGGATGGCCACACAGCATGGAAAACGGGGGGTGCAAGCCAAACATTGCCTCGTACATCAGTCATTACTTTACGACAGCACCTCAAGGGCACCCAGCTGGACAGCATCCAATCTGTACCATTCCACATCTCAGGGGTTAGAGACAGAGATATTACAGGGGCCGCTGAAGGGAAGGCTAGTATTGGAGCTTTAGTGACTAAAGCACTTTTTGTGTAGGAAAACACTGCCAATGCATTCAACCGATTCCTAAAATATAGAAAAGAAAAAAAAAAAAAGAAGAAGAATAGTTTGCACATTTAAAATTCCCAGAATAGTGAAATAGGGGAAAAAGGGTCAACTAGTCTTTAGCCTCATTAAAACATGCTCATGGTGAAAATTTATTTTACATATTTAAAATAGTACATTTAAAATTATTAGTTACATTACAGGTACAATGATGAACATTGTGACTCTCCATTTATATTGCACAACCTGACTTCATCCATATGGGGTTCTTTAAATAGTGCAAAATACTTTATACAGGAATGTGTTCGGAAGGGTCTTCGCAACCAAAATAAGGAAAAGAAATATCTTACAAATTACCATGAACATATATTAAAGTGACAGGGGAGGGGAGAAATTAAAAAAAAAAAATGTTACAATCTGTACAGAGGAATTGCCACAGACAACCAAAAAGATCCCCCCTCTCTCCTGGGAGAAGCAGCAGGCCTCTGACCTATACAGGTCTGGCATTCGTGCTAAGGTAATTTTTTGGTGTCAATCAAAAAGAAAAAAAAAAAAATATTATATATATATATCAGTAACTTAATACAATATAAATAAAGTCCAGTCCAGTGAATCCTGTGGTGGGTCAAATGGAGCAACGGAAGGCAAGCCTTTGTCATCTAGGGTTTCAGTAGGGTTCTTTTCTTAATGGGGGAGGGGAGGAAAAAAAAAACGAACAGAAAATTATAAACGAAAAGGGAAAAAAAAAACGAAAACCAAAAACCAAAAACCCACAGCCACTACTGTCAACAACAACAACAAAAGCCTGGAACAATCCAGCCTGGCTGCCCCATGCTGCGTGTGGCTCCAGCGCTCGAACATTGGTTCCGGTGGCACTGTCGAGAATAAGCAGCAGGAATTCCCTAGCGTGTGTTTGCATTTTTTGTGTTCTTTGTTTGGTTTTGATTTTTTAATCCACACAATCCTCTCCCAGGGAAGCCAACGAGGCACTTACTTGATGCTTCCGTCACTATTTTCTGCGGCCGCCGTGGCTTTGGGGAGGGGCGCCAGGACGCTGCCTGGGACCCAGCCCTCGGCCGCCGGGGAGCGGTCGCTGGCAGGCTGGTACACCAGGCACATGTTCTGCTGGTTGACGGCGAGGACCTGGACCACCTCACCTTGGCTCACACAGATTTCGTTCTCCTTCAGTGCATAGTAATCTTTGATCACGGCCATGGATGAGGTCCCATTGCAGCCTCCCAGGTCGCCCTGCTAAGAGACAAGGGCAAGAGGGACACGGACACAAGGAGGCCGTTCACATCCCTCTGCGTGGTTAAAGGCCAACCCTCTACTAGCAGGGTAAACAGCAGGCAGAACATTATCTTGAGCGATAAAATGATATCTATGAACATGCTTTGAAAATCTACTTTTTATAATGATGTTGCATATAATATTATAATCAAGGGTGAATAGGTAGAGAACTGTCTAGACTAGGGAACATAAACACCTTCCACCTGGAAGCCTCCCTAGCATGCAACTTTCCCACCGGCATCCTCTAATGTATAGAAGAGGGTGGCACAGGTACACAGAGACATAAGCCCCTGGGCAGAGTGACGTCGGGGCAAAGGTCAGGTCAGGGTCACAACCCCCTAGCAGAAAGCAGACACTTCGAAACATTTTTTTCTTCCTTTTGCGTTGGTCTTATGCTACATTCTGATCTTCTTTGAAGCAGGAGTAACAATGAGACATTAGCCCAGTTCAACTGGCAAGACCATGACCTACCCTGACCCAACCCCAGTGGGAACAAAACTTCTCTGGCTCCGCCCATATTCATTAATACAAGAGGTCCGGCCTCTGGGGCCTTTTCATATGACTACACCAGGAAAGCTGCTTCTAGACCTGTATCTCCTAGTGAGGCCTGGCTACCTCATACACCATGATCAGAGCCAGAAATTCTTCAGTAAGTTTGACAAAAGGCCAATATGACTTCAACTAACTCACAAGGGTAATTTTTAATGTAGAAAATCATTTTTAGGTAATGTGATGAAATAGGTCAGTATAGTTATTCTAATACAGAATTGAACTTAGACATTAACAGTTGATTTTTAAAAAACTTATCTTAGTTTTTATTAATAGATCATTAAAAAATTAATATCATCTAATAATTTGGATAAAACTACAAGATCAGAACACGTAAGGAAAAATGTAAGTAAAAAAAAAATCTATTCAAAGATCCATTAAGTTCTAGAGGCAACCGGGGCCTAATGAGATTAATGAACTTGCTAAGGTTCTAGAACAAGTGGGTTGCAGAATTTGGAATGGGAACCAGATTGCCTGAATTCCTAATCTAGCACTTTTCCCATTTATTCTCACACCTACCACTTGGTAGGGTCAAAACAGCTGTGTAGACTGGATATACAGTTAATTCTACGCTGCTCTCGTGGTGCTGTTTGAATTGTGGATTATCTGTGAAAAATGTCTCATCCAAGGTTGCTACTCCCATTCACACTCACAATGAGCAATTTCCCCTTGCTGTATCAGCCAGTGGATGGCGAAGGACTATGAACTCACTTCAGCAGCTCATCATTAGAAAGGGTGACCTCTTTAAGCTGTCAAACAGTAGAGTTGTGACTTTTAGTGATCCAAACTACAACTACTCTAATTTGGTATAGGTCATCGTTGCCACGACAATATTTCCTTATATTTGCAGAGTTTCTGCAGATGACAACAGCCCTTTGACACAGAGTGTCTGAGCAGAGGGAACTGGTCTAACTCACTCAATTTGCAGGGGAAGAAAGAGAAATAATTGAGACTCGGCTGTATTTAGTGGGTTGCTTCTGGTCAAATGAGAGGCATAAAAAGAAGCTACTTCCTCAAGTGAGCCCAGAGGCTGCGCCCTCAGGGTGTTGAGGGTGGGGATAAGGTGCTGTCACTTACCTTGCTGGCCTCAAACTTGTCCCCAGGTTGGTGGTAGTCAAACCCTGGACTGCCATTGGAGGTAGATATCTTCAGGGGTGGCAGAGGTGGGTTATAGCTGGAGCCCTTTGGGGGCTTCTCAGAGCCCGTGGGGACAGAGGAGTAGGGCCTGGGGCTGGCTTGGGGAACCCTGGATGGCTGGGACCTCATCACGGCTGTGTTCCGTTCTTTCCGTTGATACTCAATGGGCGACTGTAGGGCTGTAGGGTAAGAGTGGATGGTTACTCTGAGCTCCAGGAATCCCACAAGGATTTGGAAGCTTATTACACAGAGGCTTTGTGCCAGGCATTGAGGTGTTACATGAGGAAGACACTACCCTTGTTTTTAAGGAATTTATAATCTCCTGTGAGAACTAAGAAAGCTACCTTAATGAGGAAAATGCAAACACGAAGTGATGCCCTATGTGAGTGCACAGTGTTGTGCAAAAGCAGGGAGAGAAGGCTTTGTGTGTGTGCGCATGGGTGTATGGGCCTATGGGGATTGGGTGGTGATACGCTTCAGACTCTGCAGGATGTAGGCAAGTGTGAAGTGTGTCTGGAGAACGGGACGGAGTCAGATGACCTGCAGCAGAAGGCCAGGTGTCTCCGTGGAGGAAGAGGAGATGAGACAGGTAAGGGAGGTTATGGGTGCCATGGCTGAAAAATCTACAAAGCCAGGCTAATGAGTCTGGGTGTAATTCTGAAGATCATGAAAAGTGATTGGATTAAATGAACTTGAACATTTTAAATTCTCTCACCAGAGCCACACCTGAAGAACATTAACCTTGTGGCAGTTGGGAGGAGGAGGTATTGGAGAGGCTGATTCAGAAACCATGAGATAGTGACCAGCAAGAGACCCAAGCAGAGTAGAGCTGGTGAGAATGTAGAATGGCTATGAGGTGACATGTGTTCTGGAGGGAGATTAGAATCTGCCACAGCCTTGATGCAAGGAGGAGACAAGGGCTGAGGGTCACTCCAATTTGGAGACTGGCAGAATGGTAGTCAGTGGAACTCAGGAGACAGAGGAAACGTGAGCTTTGTTTTACAGAGTTTCAGATAAGAAAGTTCCAAGGCCTGAGTACTAAAGAGGGATAGCCAGGCAAAAGCCATGCAGGTCAAACTCTGTCATAATGACTTCAAGGGCTGGCCCACTTTTGTCATTTTTATCAGGATTCTCTGTAACAAATATTTAAGTGGGTTAACAGCTGGGGCCTTTCAATTATAGGGATATTTCTATAGTGATAAGCATGTACTTTGGTAGGACTCAACATAGGGCCACCATTCTTCATCTTTGAGGTCTCAGGAGGCCCTGCGATGCCTGCACATGTCTCTGTAAGCAAAAGGCTGGCCCTGCTCTATCATCACAGCCTTATCCCTTGAGTGTGTCAAAGTATTGGGCTCCTGCCAGAGCTCAGCTTTTCTCCCTGGACAATATTCTGTAGGTATTAAATATTTAAGAATTGATAATGTAGTTCAGTAATAGCTCCATAACTCCCTATAATTAAGAGAAAGGTCTCTTGGAACCATGTAAAAGTCTGGATCATGGACTACACCCAAAGAAATGCAGTTCCAAGTTTTAAGTAGATGGCAGAGAATTTTGAAGCAAGCCTCATCAACCTGACTGTATGAATCAGTATCCATCACATGGAATTGGGGTATTACCTGATTATATATGTAATAACTGTGCTGAAGTGTTTCAAAATAATATGGCTTTTTAAATGAGCTACACAGACAGCCTTTGTTCTTCCACCAGTCTCAGTCTGCATTACTCAGGTCTTAGGATCAGGGAAGCTATGCATCTCCTGGGAGGGTTTGTTTCTACCTGATATATAGCATCTTATGCCTGATCCTGTTTCTTCCTTTGCTTTGTTTGCTAGGGAGCTCATAGATAAATGTGTGCCCTACCACCAGCGACTATACTGTAGTTCATGGTTAAAAGCCTAATTTTAAGTTATAGGGTTCTGGGTTCAAGTCCTTGTTCTATTACCTACTGTTTTTGTGACCTTGGACAAGCTTATTAACCTCTCTGACTCCTTTCCCTCACCTGAAAAATACAGGATGATAGGACTCACCTTTCCATGTTGACATGAGGATGAAATGTGATAATACATGTGAATACATGCTTAGCATTGTGCCTGTCTCAGAGAAAGGACTCAATGGTACGAGCCATTGTTGTTACTTCAATTATTGCTGGTTTCATTTTTTTCTTGTCTTTTGTACTGAATTGATAAACTTAAAAATCTCATTTCAGCTTAGAATCTATCAGAAATTCTTAACTACTGAAAAAAAAAAAGAAATTCTTAATTACTGGAATACAATTTATACATGTATTTTATATATGTGCACCTTTTACATAAAATTATTTTATCAGCATAGGTGTTAATTCAAAGTTCTACATTCAGGGGAAACTGTAAACTATATACAACTTCTGCTGCTGTCCCTCAGGGCTGGGTTGGTGTTTAATTTTAGACTTTTCAGAGCCCTAGAGATGACAAAGTTTTTTTCATCAAACTGTTCTACAGTTGGGGGGCCTAGGGGCATGACCCCAAAATACTCTCACACTTACAGTGTGAAATTGCTTTGAAGTTTCATGTTTATCTTGCTGTATAATTTCCTTTTATATGTTTTAAAATAAATACAATGTGTTAAATCCCTTACATGCAGTCAGACTGAGATTGTAGGGAGCTGTGCCATGTTTTCCTGCTTCCCGTACTGCTGACTGGCACACCAGAGCACGTGCCAATGTGGGCAGAGTAGACTGTCCCTCCTTTTCACAAAATGAGCCAACAGAGGCCCACAGAAACATCATGACTTGCCCATGGTCCTCAACTGGTATGTTACCTTTAATCTTTCCCCACAGCATTCAGGTCAACGCTGGACACCCAACAAGGGCTGTTTGCGCCATTTGAAAGAGTCCAGATTCCAGTACTGGCAAGAGGTGACACGTCTGACAGTGGACCTGTGTGCATGCATGCACGTGCGTGTACATACAAGCATATGTGCTTGGTGAGTCTGTGTGTGTGTGTATGTGTGTGTACGTACAGGCATATGTGCTTGTTGAGTGTCTGGGGTAACTTCATTTCTGGTGACATTCTGCTTTCAACTTCCAGCTCTGTTTCTGCTCAGAGAGACTTCTGAGTGCATCAACTTGAAAGATGAGCACCGGTTTAAAACTGTACACTTCCTGTCACATGCTAAGCTCAACGTGGAGACAACCCCAGCAGCGAAAAGAAATAAAGAAACTTAAACAAGGTAGCAGCGCCATTTCACTTCGGTTCCCACCACCAGTTAGGGGACTCCTGCAGGGTCCATAGAGAGCTACACTCTCTGTAATCATGAGTTGTGGGAAGTTTCAAGATATTACTGAAATTTAGAGTTTAGGGATCACCTCTCCTTTGAAAGGGCTCAAGTTGGCTAGCAAGAGGACCTCTGTAGGCTCTCTCACTGATCTGTCAAACTCCCAGTGAACACTAAGTAACACCAGAGAACCTGTGAAAACACCAACCATTAGCCACCAAATGGGAAAACATAGTACTCTGATAGTCCCTGAGACAAGGAGGATGTGCCCAACTCAGACTTCTGCCACAATCATTACGAGCTGGCACGGGTGGCCACAAGGCATAGACCCCATGGCTAGGCTCTAAGAGAACAGCTCTTCTTTTGGAAAGATGGGGCTTCTTTATCATGTTCCATCTGTTCCACTGACATACCCAGGTTCAGAAAAATTCTCAACAAAGTGTTTCTGAAAACTACAAGTTTATCATCCTTACAAAATGTCATCCGGGCTCATGAAGTCACCGTTAAGCCCAGACCCAAGGAAACTCAGAGGTGTGGGGTTCCCTGAAAATGGCCCTGTTAGAAGCCAGGCCCAGTACCTACCATTTAAGAAGTCTCGCTGTGTTTCTAAGACTTGATTGATGTCCTGTACCCAGGCCTGCTGGATGTCCGCGTTGGCGGCTTGCAGAATGACCCTCTCAGAAGTCTCTCTATTCATGAGCGCAAACTTACAGGGGTCATTGTCCACGTTCTCCTCCAGGACCAAGTAATTCATCTGGAAGAAACCAAGTTCAATCTTTTCATATTTAAGTGGTTTAAAAAAAAAAA